AGAGGCAAACAGTCCCGTCCCGCTGCCCGGCCAGCAGGCAGGCGCTGGTGGTGGCCCAACGGGCCAGCGCCCAGCTCCCCTCCGGGTCCGGGGGCAGCAGGGCCGTGCAGCGTCCCAGCAGCAGGTCCCAGACGGCGATGGCTCCCGACGTCAGCACGGCTGTGGCAGAAGCATCCTTCACGTCACCCTCCAGGTACCTAGGGCGGTACAACACACAACGGCCACAGTTTCCTTCGTGAAAACACTATCGCATCGTTTTTAAATTACTTTTTCACATAGGAAATGAATCAGCAAATTTGAGCCAACCGTGGGACGCCAGGCTACGTCACCTGTTGAATTTTCAGTGCACCTGAGAACGAAGGATGTCAAGACAATCCTTCCGCAGCCTCAGTACGTACTTGAAAATTGTTCGGTAAGCCCAGATCTCAAGCCGCTAATATTTGTGCACAGAGGAAGCGATGAGGGATGTAAGCGCATTGCAAGGCTGAGCCTTAACCAGCTTAGTCTTCAAAACGCAAGACATAGGAAGGAAAAGGTCATCTGACTGCAAGCAGCTGCTTAACATAAATAAACCTAGCGAAGCGCTCTGCAACAGCACGCAGGCTCCGAACGTCTCGCTCGCAGACATCTTCTCGGGGTTTTTGCCTGGGGAGTTTGCCTGATGAACCCCGTTAGAGCATTTCCACAATCACTTTGTGGGGGGGAGAAAGACAAAAGCGTAAGCACACGGAAAATCCGTGCTCCCGTTCGTCAGCGGAGCTCCGGTGAGCGGAGCCCCTCGCCGCGCGGTGAGGCCGGCGGCTCAGAGGTCAGCGCGCAGGCTGGCGCAGGAAGCGGGCAGGAAGCAGCCAACACCCTCGCCCCGTTCCAGCCCCCGTACAGGACAAACGGCAGCGACGGATGCAGCCTCCTTATCATCGGCAAGATGGCAAATGGATCCTTGCCAGCAGCGCTACTCAGCTCATTAAGCGATTCTCCCCCGAAACCACCTCGAAGGAGTCACGAAGCCAGCACGCAGAGTCCCCGCGGTACCTGCCTTCCAGCATGCCCAGGTGGGAGGGAGGAGAACATCACTCCCCTGCTCCTGGCTGTTTTGGGGTTGAACGCTATCACGCGGAACGCGGGGTTTCCACAGGACTCACTCTCTTTGGCATGTGGATGACTTAAAACAACAAACAGAAGGCCCTGATATACAGAGGAAAAATACATCACTAAAAACAACAGCAAAAGGGGAAAAACCCACAGAATTTTCCAAAAATTAATTGCTACATTCTCTCTATAATCAGAGCCCCATGGACAGTGATGAATTACTTTTACTGAATAAAATAGAAACGGTTTACTTTCCTTATCAAATTAGATAAAAACCAAAGCAGCTGCTGACTGATAAGGGCTGATGCGATACAGCAGAATGACAGCTCAGTGACCCAATGGATTTATGCTCTTATCTTTCTGCCTGAAAAAGCTAAACTTGCTGTAGGATGAGGTGACATTTCAAGTAAAATTTCTGGGCCTCATTTTAATCCCTAGCAGCTTATAAATTTCACAAGAATGCCATGCAAATCAGCACAGCTGAAAACAGCGGCGGCTCTCAGAACAGCCACAGGCCAGCACGAAAGACACTGGATGGAGACTTCCTCAGAATATCTAAAGAGCCTGACTCAAGCCATCATTATTGGACAAGACATTCTTGTCCCAAAAGGTTAAATGCTCACTGAAAACAATCAAATCCTTGATAAACTACAAAAATCCATCTGGAATCACAGCACAGGTGGAAGCAAGTGGGAAAGAATCATTAGTATGAATCTTGGTTTTAAACAGTTGATATCCTCGGGGGTATATGTAAATAACCACTTCAAATCGGTTTTCTGACAACGGCAGTGTGCCATCACCACGCTGGCAGCTACCCACTTGTGAGATGGAAGAGACTTACCCAGCACCAGCACTGGGCAACAGTACTTCTGCTTCCCACGTCCAAGATGCTGCTGCTTTGGAATACGCTTTGATGCATCACTTATTTTATTAGTACACTGCAGAAAGCCAAGAATTCGAGGTAGCCGGTGTGGCTTATTTCTCCTAGTTACCCTGTTTTCCTTTGAAATACCTTCAGGGTATCTAAATAGAGCTGATATTTCAATCCACTCTAGAAACCCTAATCCTTTAAGTCCCCACCATAGTTAGTCAGTGCAGTCCATGCATAAACTGCGTGTCATATTTCACATACGTACAGAGTCAGAATATGCTCTATGGCAGATGGAAGCCGGGTAGGAATAACCAACATGCATCTTCTTCAGGAGCTGGCCTGTTTTCAGATTCCTGCAGTTGGTGAAAATACAAATTCTGACTGCATTTCCATCCTCTATCTGTTATTTTCTAATCATAGTTACACCGCTATGCAAGACAGACACATTTTTGGTTTCACATAAACCAACAAGAGGCCACAGGAAGAGATGTAATGAATATGATGCAAAAGCAAGTGGAATTACAGCAGCACAGTTCATTCACTACCCAACTGTATAGAAGTTAAAGTGCCAGACTGCAGGCCCTTTGACAATTCTCATTGCACAGGCAAATCAGCTGCCAACCAATGCCCCTATATAACGTCTGCAGCTAGCTGTTACAGCCACCACGTATACCTGCAAGATATATCATTTAATTGCAAAGGAAACACTGACCAAACAACAATGCTGTTCACTGCAGTGGTGCCAACCAAGGCGTCTCTCATTCCTTCTACTTCAGCAAAAGCTAAAACAGTTTCTTCAGGGGCCATCAAAGTTTGTCCGTCCTTGCTCCTGAATAGCAGATTAGCAAGTGAGAAAAGGCAGTCACAATAATGTGTTCTGTACTCAGCACATCTCCAGAAAGAAGAGGAACCTGACACTTTGCTACATCTGAGATGTCTCCTTACTTTTCTTCCACCTGTCACACCGAGACCACCCCCAAAACCAGCAGACTCACCTTCCCGTCTCTGAAAGCGATACTATTTCCACTTGCTGCTCTTGCACGGTCCTGCTGCTGCTGACCAGCCTCCTGTCCTTTAGCCCAAGAACAGCTTTTATATTTCCAGTTTTTACTAGCGATTGCTTGAATGAGTCATTCTCAGAAGAATAAAGCAAGAGCCTAAATTAAGAGAAAAGTATGCCTAATGACAGAAGGAAGCATAACTCAAACATGCCATAGCATATAAAAATAAGCATATGTTTAAACAGTCTACCACCTCTAGGGGCGAATAAGCAAATCTTTATAGTTGATTTTTAGAAATCCCTTCCATATTTTCCAACTGTTAGAGCAACTGAGAAAGTGACACATTAGTAAGAGAGAATTTCAACCACTGCACAAGAGGAGAGTTAAGCTACAGCTATTCAGGGTGCAAAGCGCTAGTAAGAAACAAATACAACACCTTATTTCTCCAATCTCCAAATCTCCCAATGCTATACACACGAGATTACAGGTGTCTGGCAGAGGAACGATCTGTATTACAGGAATCTAGGAGAGCAAAACAAGAATTCAGTGTCACCCACAATACCCCTTTGACTTCATTCCCATTTTCTAGAGTGTTTCAAGTAAAATGATATGGAGCAGAACTACTTTTCAGATCCCTCTGAAGAAGCACATTTAGATTAACAGCTGAACTCTCGGCTGACTGTTTACCTAATTAAACAATCCCTGTTGATATAAGAGACAAAAAGTGTCTCCAGGGAGCGTAAGGGGAAAGAGCACAAGTCAGTGGCTGTAGTGCAACCACCATTCAGTACATGAAGTAACAAATTCCAGCAGATAGCATGTGACTGTACAAGCTACTGGCCTTCTCCATCAGCAGTGCAAATCATTCCCCTCTGTTGCCTGATGGAATGAAAAATTTATGCCACCTAAAGAACTTACCTTGCACCCAAGACTGCAGGCTCCTTGTATCTTGGGAACTAACACGCTGGGATGAGAATGTTGTCCTAAATTCTAGAAATAAGGATTGTGTTCGTACCTCTCTGAGCTGCCAGGTATAGACCTTTCCCCAGTGGTCGGATGCCAGAGGTTTCCACAGGGAGACAGAACTCTCACAAGCAGTCACCACGTACAGCTCTCTGCCGCCAGCTGCGTCCCACCACACGGTACTCACATCCACAGCGCAGGAACTTGAAGAATCCTGTCCAAAACAAAACAGCGCTGGTTTTCTTCTGACAGACATGGTTACCTAACCTGGAGGTTCAGCCTGAGAAAAACGCTTGACATTCAGTGTGATGAGAATTTGAGGCTAAAACTTAACGCTTACAATGTTTAATTTTGAGTAAAGTGCCAGTAGGGCACCAAGGAAAGCAAGCCTGGTGGGTTTCACCCTCAGAGCAGCAAATACATTGGTGCACTTCACAAAAATCACTTGTCATTTGAAACGACAGGGACCTGGCAGAGCCCAGAGCTGGGAGAGGACTGGGGGTACCACGACACAGCCACAACAAAGCCCGAGTGCCACCTACCTTCAGTCACGCACTTGCTTCCCTTGTTGCACAAACGGGAGACAGGACTTGCAGCAGCACAGACTGAGTTTAAAACTGAACAAAGCAAGGGCCTTTTCTTCCTCGTACAAAAGTTTTCAGCTTCAGCCATGTTATTGTTGGCTGGTTATGCTAACCCCCCAGGCTTGCTTCTGGAGCAAAACTTTGCGCTTTGGTTTGGAAAAGCTAGAGATGACCCAGGCCCCGGCAGGCTCATTTGGAGTTCAGTGGGCTTTCCCACAGATGTTGCTTCCTTGCCTGCCAACCGTTCTCTACCCCCTACAAGCCAGAGAACAGTGGAAGGACACCACTGCAGGAAGAAGACGCGATGGCTCAGCTGTGCAAACAGTCCTGGGCAAGATTTGCCTTGGTCATGGCGTGTACAAGCAAGGCTCCGTTCCAGAAGGGTGCGAACATCAACACATCTATTTGGCAGTGCTGTAGTCCCTCACAAAATTTGTTCCTTACTGAGTTACTTAGTGCCTGAAATGGTGACAGGAGGCCACTGGAGCCACTGGGCAGGCAACAGGGGTACAAAGGCTGAGATTATTTTACCTGAGGCTGAAGAAAAATGCAGCACTTGTGTTTGTTAAGACATTTGCATGTGTTTAGACATTCATTATTCAGAAACAAACACTGAAATCCTTTATCAGGCAAAAGGAGATACACAGCAATCTAACCTTTCAGCATGCTTTACCACAAGTGAAGACAGAACTGATCAAATTAGACAGCAAACTATTTTGTTCAACTAGCCATTCTGCATTTTTTATTGCATTTTTGTTAAACTTGGTATTAAAGAGCTGCTACTGACTCAGCAAACAATTATCTGACATTATCCCACCTTTAGCTTTGATACAAGCTGCAAGCTCTCCTCTCTCAGGCTGTCAAGCAGTGCTGGCGTCAACTGTTCTGCTACATCTTTTTTCTGTACAAACAAGTAAAGAATGAGGATAATTCAACTTTGAAATTACATTCAGCACCTGCAAGAATGAGGCAGAAGTGTGCATGCAGTTGTTGGAGAGCCATGGTAGGAGCACCTCTTTTTGTACTTGCATGTGTTTGAAAAACAAGAGATCCCAGACAGGTTATTTCCTGGTTTCACCTGAAAACTGTCTTTTACCGCCGCTTTGCATCTCTCAGCCCTCAGAGACAAATCATTCTCTCAGTACCCATCCCGCATGTGGGTCATTTAATCTCCTTTACCAAATCCTAGCTGAAAATTTTCCTTAAGGTAGACCAACACCATGTGGGTACCAGAAACTTTTTGTTCATATACACGTTTCAAACGTGCATCCTGCAATAAGCACTGAAACCCACATCTCCAGTGTCATCAAGCAGGATTTTAAAGAATTTGCTCTTGAGGTCAAAAGACCTTAGGCAACAGACGAAAACCAAATATTTACTAAGTCAGCTAAAAACCAGCATGCAGGGCTGGCATGCAAAGAGATCTTTCCCCTGAAGTCAGGTGAGACTCTGGAAAAGGGCATTCGCCCACAAAACCACTGGCTTCGTACCCTTGGTAAAGAGGCCAGCTTGTTACCTGTTCAGGAGAAGCTCTGCAGGATCTCTGCTCTTTGCTCTCTGACTGCTGATGCTTCTCCAAGGCCACAGCCTCATCAGATTTATTATCGGGACCTCTTTCAGCTTCTAAGAGAAACGTTGTACCTTGTTCCTCCTCTTTTCTAGCAGATCCTGCACCACAGCTGTCCAAGTGCAGTGGAATGGCAGACTCTTTGCATTCCCTGCCATCCACGACCTGGGCAGATGCTTCTTTGGAGGAATGCAGGCTTGCTTCCGAGGGAGGTACAGAAGGTGTATTGGGGAAGACCTCACTGCGTACTGATGGTAAAACAGCTGGGGTTGCACCCACGACAGGGAAAACGGATGAGGAAATCTGAGACTCGGGCTGAGTGGGAGCACCAGCTAAGACAGTCCCCACGGGAGTAAATAGCAATTCATGGGTGGAAAGTTCCTCCTTGGAAGCTGGGCTTTCTAAGTGAGGTAACTCGGGCAATCCATTTTTGAAAGGCGAAATCAAATTACTTTTGAGACTTTTTTCTTCCGGATTCATTTGTGCATCTTGTATGTCCTCTGAAGCCACACCATCTCCAAACACACTAGGAACAAAAACCTCCAAGTCATTCACAGGGGAAGATTCTAATTTCTCAAGTTTTAGTAGTCCAAATTCCTCATCCGGTAAGTGAAAGTCTCTGATACCCAGTCTGGAGGCCAGCCACTGGAGACTGCGGAAGGAGAAGAGAGAGCCGCAAGTACTGGGGTCCATAGCAGGGAGGCCAAGAGAAGGAGGAGCCTCTGAACCCGTTGGATAGCTACATCCTCTTTTGCTCTCATCTAGACAAAGAAAAACACAAGAATACAAGAGAGAACATCACATCATAAAATAGCCAGCAACTAGGCTTTTCAGAATCTCTCATCCAGAGGGTCACTCTAATCTATTTTCATAAGGGAGGGGGAGAAGGCACCATATCCATCTTTAAGACATGGAAGTGGCACTTTTCTGGAAAGACATTACACTCTGCAATTGCTCTGCATCAAGCCTTTGGCTAAAATATCATTGCCAAACACTGCCAGAATTGACCACGTGCTTGGTCAGTTTCTTTTGTTTGTTTTTTCTCCCAACACTTTCTCTTTTCACAACATTCACAGACCCTCAGACTGTAATGCTACTCTTTGTGTTTCACACCTGTCAGCACTAAAAAAACCCACTATCCTTAATATGCAGACTTAGTTGGAGAAAAAGATTTACATCCGTTTGCTGGAAAATCAGGCCCAGTGTGCACAACATTTGCTCCAACAGCAGAGCCAGCTTATGAAGTTCTCAGCCCTGCTCCTCATCCATGCACTGCTGTTCACTCCCCGTCACTGTGCTGAAGCAGAAGTTTCTGGAATTGTTCAAGGAACATGGGCACCACAATGATCTAAAGTTTTTAAAAATCTCTCTTTGTTTAAAAAAATAATAGTTAACCCATGTCAGATTTTCTTGAATAAGAAAATATGGCAGGGCGTGAACACCAGTGAATGAACTCACTGGGACGTTTCCCTGCTTCGCTCCCGGGCTGTAGTTTTAGGGAGTGCTTATATTTGATGAAGTTACCTTTTGAGACTTGACTGGCTCTCCGTCTTGCAGAGGAACGCAGGGAGCGGCGTGGAGGGACATTAATCGCTAGGAGCTGCTCAGCCCTGCAGACTCCTTGCACGTGCTGATTCTTAACATGCTCCACTGGATGTTTATCAGCCTGACGCACAGTTAAGTTGGCTTCCAGATCTCCTGTATAGCTGGCAAAAGTTTCATTCCCTGGGTTCAGAGAATCGCTGTTCTGAAGTGGATTTTGAACCGGTTCTAACAGAGCCTTACAGCATTTGCCAAGCACTTGGCTTCCTCCAGGAGGAGGATCAGCACTTGTTGGCTGTATAGCGCCAGTCACTTCTGTCTCCCCAGACCCAAGAGCTACAGCAGCAGACAACCTTCTCTCATCTGAAGATGATTTTTCAAGATTAGCCTCACAGTTTTCCTTTTCACTCTGACACTCATTTGACAGCAGACTACTGCTTTCCCTCGTTGTTATGAGATCCAAACTCTCGATAAGTTCCTGTGACACTTGATGCACAGGGCGTTTGCAGGTAGACTTTCTTCTTCCCTTTTGTGTCCTCTGTGATTGTCTCTGATCTCGCCTTGTGCTAGTGATACTGTTTTGAGAAATCGATCCAAGTGAAGTGCTGCTACCACTGGATGCAGGAAGAGATTTTTGAGGACTACTTGAATTTGCTGGATCATTTTCTGCACCAAGAAAAGGTAACGGCACGACCCCTGACTCTAAATCATTTTCAACTCTTTCTTGGGAGGGCCGATCTGAATTTGCATCTTTCTGCTTGCACTTACTTCGCTGACCTTTCTTGCTTCTGCCCAGCTGGCTGAGAATGACAGCATCGAGGTCCACTTTCCTCTGGCAATTAGACATGCGTCGAGTTGTCCTGACATAGTATTCAACTGGAAAGAGAAGACCTTCAACCACCGTGCAAGAGTTCAGTGCGCTTTCAGGAGCTGTCAACTTTTCTGGATGAGAACGTTTTGACTGAATTTCAAGCTGTTGATTCTCTAACAGTTCTTCAGCATTGCCCAGAGCAGGATCTGTAGGAAAGGGATTTAAGCTATTAGTGTCACCTTGATTTCCTTCATGGCTTTTGCTCTCATTAGTTATGGTGTTATTTCCGTCAGCAGGCAATACTTCATTTTCTGACATTAAATCCAAGAGCCTAAATAATTCTCCCTGGTCTTCACACATACTCTCACCATCCGTTTGTTTTATTATACTGGACGATTCTTTTCCTCCATCACCGCTGGCATCAAGTAAAACAGAGTCACCATTCTCTGAACACGGCCGTGCAGGCTCACAGTTATCAGGTGTGGCCACAGCACCTGGGGACTCAGGCTGCCAGACATCGCTGCTGTCCCTCAGCACACACAGGAACATCTCAGGCGCTCCTGGAGGGACACTGCCTTCGAGCATGTCTTGTACAACTCCTAACGCTGCATCGGGAGGAGTGAAGCTGTTTTCTTCTCTCTGCACAAGTGCTGGTCTGGATGCTCGTTGAGCATTTTCCTCAGTGTTTGAGAGACTGCTTCGCCTGAAGACCGGCGACCGAAGTTCCTCTGTACTAGCAATTTGATTTTTCACCATTTCATCAGCGTTGATTAGATGCACATCATGCACTGATTCCCTTTCCTCTGATACCAGAGCCTTTGTCCGTCTCCTCAGCTTCATCAAGCTTCTGGAGGTTTGGGTTTTTTTCTCCTCAGGGGCAGGCCTAATGATTCCACAGCACAGGTTTTCCTGGCTAGCCTGTATGCTTTCTGCCTGTGAACTGTCCTGCAGGCTAACCTCATTATTGGAGAATTCAGGAACGTGTTTAAATGTGACAGATGTTTTCTTCTCTGTGTCAAGATCAGAGGAGGTTTTAGTCTCTAACTGAGAGGTTTCATGTTTGTCAGCACTAGGAGATATGTTATCTTTAGAACCTGTGGGAAAAAATGTCATTTGCATAAAGTACTCCCAGCAAAGTCCTGTCCAAGAAAAACATCACACAGTAAAACTAGATGACTGTTAGGAGTGAAAGAGTGGGATCTTACAGTCGGGATCGGAGAGCACTGGTGACCTGGTGAGGGGGAAAGGAGATGTTATTGCAGGTCACGCTGCAGCAGCACGGGAAAGGCCAGGTGTGGGTATGGGGGGCAGCAGCTGTGGCAGCAGCTGCAGAGAGGGGACAGCGGAGCCAGGGGCGAGGGGGGCCAGCAGAGCTGGGGCCCATCCCCGGCTCGGCAGGATGGGCCGTGGGGGCACAGAAGGGCGATGGTGGCTGGGCCAGGCCCCCCGCCCGGGCGAGGGCCAGGGGGAGCACACGGCAGCCGGCGGGGGCCCCCCGGCGCCCCCCCCGGCCCCCCCCCCCACGGGGGGGCGGC